GGTTTTTAATTTTCAAGACCGACTGATTTTTCTTTCTGTATCTGGACAAGTCCAAATTATTAAGTTTCTTCCCTCTTCCCGTTGGTGTTAGTCAAAGTTCTGTTTGAGTACGCTATGTTTCGTCTTCTGTTTTTTCCTTATGCGTCTTACCCAATTCTTAACAGTTTAAGAATATTGATATGCAGTTTTGCCTTCGGCAACCCATTTCTTTGTCTTTGTCTTTCGGGCTGTTTCCTCTAGCTTATTGCCCCTGTACTTTCCACATTTTAGCCGAACAGGCTTTTTAGAAATTGTTTTACATTTAAAACCGTCCCATCTCGAATTCTGTTCTGCACCAGAACGGATGGTCGCAGGACGGCGCATTGATATTTTCGAACACATCTTAGCGACCCACATCGTTATCCACCGGCTGGTCTTGCGGTTGGATTTGGTGCGAGGTTGTGCCGCGTCGCAACTCGTGATTGTGAGCTGTCTAAGTTGGTGATTGGATTTTCCCAGACCTGTGGCTTATGATTTTCCTGATGACAACTTTTTTACGGCATGACTATTTTTTATCCGCACCAATTCAATTTCTTGCGAGAGAATTTCATTTAATTTGGATTCTGTCCGCGGGCAGCGAGTGCCGTCGGGCCCATTGATCCATGTCTTACGGGACGATGTCTGGGTCATTAAGATTCCACTTTCGGGGTACGCTCCTCCAGCCATAATTGTCGTCTTCTTTCGGGCGTCCGTCATTTTACTGGGGAGTATTCCACGGAACCTAATAACAAAAAGTGCGAATTTACTCGAGTCGGACTGGACACGTCAAATCTCGTTTCATTCGGATCACTGGCACCACTTGCTCAGAATTTCCACACCGCCCAGTCATGCAGACTGCCCGAACGAAGTACAGCCTACAAAAACCTGCTACCTCGCGATTGACAGAAAAGACGAAAGTATAAATAATTCACGTACTTGGGTTCAAGTAATGGTTATATAAAGATCTATTACGAAGAGATGAATTTTGGGAATAGGGGACAGGTAGACTGTACAGAAAGACGGATCGATCTGTCGGATGGTCGGGGGTCAGGAAAGTCCGCCTAATAATCGTTTGCCTGGGAATATTGATTCGTTGTGGTCTTCTAAAAGGCAGGCCAGACATTACGTAGTATGTTACTGACTAGCCACAAGAGGAGGATTACTACTCAGTCTGTGATCTCCACTGTTCAGCCTCATGTACTCGCCAACCTTGAAGACGCATCTGGAGACTTCTCGCCAATATTGGATTGGTCTATAGTGGAAAACGCCTTGCGTGGCAGCTGCTAAATGAACGATCAGTAGTAGACTTGCCGGAAACGATGGCATATGTGGTGAAACCGAGGAAAAGACGCCTCATCCGATGCCTACGAAGCAAATTATCATAATAGTAGCTCGAGGGCCTAGTTCACAGCGTGATCCTTCATCTGTACTGCCTCTAGCTCGGAGACAATAGGCCTGCCTGAGACGCCTGGGCATATTTCCTGCAGTAGACCATTCTCTTTAGCATTGTTCTGTTGTCGGCATGGAGGGGTCGTCGAGGCCTAGGGTACGTCTCTTAGGGACGATTTCCGCCAATTTCAGGCCGAATTAGCTGGGCCTAATGAGCTTGCGGTCAAGGGCGGTGGTGCCAGTATCCCAGTCAAAGATGATATAAAGCGCTTGGGCGCTCTCATACCCATGAATTTTGTCAGGAGAGTCGCGCTTGTTGTCTATTCAAAAGGGACTGACGGAAGGTATTCTTGTCAAAATCCCAAATTGACGCCAAAATGATCGTTTTCACTGAACTCTCCTGCCCCATCACTCGCGAGTTCTAATAACGTGTGCCGATTAGGCCCGGAAGTTTTGCGCGTCCGCTAACAGCGTACAGGGCATTCCAAATGGCATTTCTGTTATTGTAGCCGATCGAAATAGTAAAATCAAGAACGCCGATAACTCATTTCGACCGAAAACCTTGTCTTCCAGGATACCTAGAAGGGTGAATATGTGGTCTCCAAAGCCTTTGCCGTATAAAGATCCCCCTTAGTGTTTCTTGCCCATACACTCCTGGCAGGCCATAAAAGTCTAACTAGGGTGTTTCTCCAATCACAGCAGCTTGGAAGCCCTCCTCGTGTGAATTATTTAGTTGACAGCCGCGCTTCCTCCGAAAACACCAAAGCAAGCAGAGCGTTACTGCATCACTGATGATGGATATTCGTTCTGATTATTAGACCACGTTCTACCAGTATCGGTTTCGGCCAACTCTTACTGGTCTTTTGAATCATCGCAATTTCTGGGAGGCTCGGTCAGTGTGGAAGATGAGTTACTGAGCATTGGAGGGAACGTTAAACTCTGGGTATTTTTAAACAGTCCATCACTTCAAAAACCACTATTTCTCATTATAACTAAAAATTTGTCTGAGACGAAAGATGCAGGACAGCGTTTGCAATCGAAGTGGTGAATCCACCCCCCTACCTACCTCTGCCCGCAACTATCATCCGACGACAGGTGTCCCGATCAAAAACAAACCCGAATACGCTGAAACAGGCGTTCACAATCATTCGACACGACCCGTCAACCAATAAACCCGGGTTTAGGGGTTATCTACTCCATGATCAACAGGACCTTTAAATCCTCTGTAGCGTGAAGATGATGGACACTGGTGCGTCCGAAAATCCAGGCCAACAAACTCTTGGTTCTCTCAACAATCCCTTTTAATTTCCAAACATTATACGAGTAGACTACTTCAACAGCAGGACCGATCTCCAGATAATTTAACGACCATTTTCCGAAGGGTTTTGCATGTGATCTATTAGCTAGATGGGACGTTGCTCTCGCGCTCCTTTGACTAGGCCATGCCTGATAGCTGTGTACTGCAATTATGTAAAATAGGAAAACTGCGTCAGACCACTTTCCTTTCCTCCTTTTCCTTTCCACTTTTTTCTTTTGTCTCGCTGTCTGTGGAAATGTCGTTTGGCCTGTTTGATTTAATAGCTACCTGACTGTAATGGTGATGACAATGGCGATGACGATAAGCATAGTAATTACGGTAAGAATAATATTATTACGACTGTGATGATGCTGGTGTTAGGGATAGTGACAGTGATGTTACTAATTGAACCGTTCTGCGAATCTCCGTGCATGTACAGGATTTAATAAATACTTCAAATATATGGCCAAAAACCATACTAACAGCCGCTGCAATACTCAGAAGGTCGTCATTATTAGCCCTAACAGTAGCCAACCGTCGTCTAAGATGACTTAGAGCCTATCTGTTGCGTTTTTCTATAAAGTATGAGTTGGGTGTCCGTTCCATTCGACTATGAACTGTCTCCACGTTAACGCAGCTATTTGAAGATTGGAAGAGTACGTGTAGTCGTTAGGGGTCTAAATGCTCACAGTGAGAATGGGCGAACGTTCTGAGTTTAGCTGATAAAATTGCTACAACTCTGTTCCTTCTTACGTAACCATTGCGGTCATAGACGGTGAAGGGTAGATTGCGGGACGGTTCCACCACGTAACTTCTGCGGCAGATAGGAACCCTGATCTCAATGATCCCAATACCCGCGTAAATCATTCGTCCTAAACATTGGTTAGATTAACCCTTCAGACTGACCACGAAAAACTAGAATCACGACGTATTCAAATGACAACAGTGTGACAAACCTTTTACCCAGATGCCTTATGCTTAAAATGATTAGGGGCAGTGTCACGTTGAGCTCTTCGGAAAACTTCCGACGCTGGACTTAATACGTTCAGGTATTCCATTAAGTCTTCTTACCCATTACTATGAGTCTTGTTGCGAGTGACATCTTGAAAACAGTAAGATTTCTCCCCAAACTCTCTCAGCCAAACCTCTAGCATTTTTTGCCAATCGACACCACAGCTGTCGATGACGGCAATAAAGTTGACTATTTCTTGAATTTTTGAAACGTATTCTGACAAAGACCTAAGCCTCACCCTCTTCTAGATCGACGTTCAATACCACCTACAGTATGGCGTTCGGTTTATACACCCTTTTTGAGTCCATCGTACTCCTTCTCAATGCAGTCTGTATCCTTAATGAGCAGCGTTTCCTCGCCAAACGTAAGACGCCTCCCTTGTGACCTTCTGACTTTTCAGGTGGCTGGACTCCGACCAGTTATGGGTTTGCTGGTGACGACACGCTCAAGTCTCGACTTCTGACCTTCATTACATCAGTGCGGACGGTGATGCGAAGTTAGTTTTCCTTCTTCATTCCTAAGCTGTTCTTAGTTCCTCTGATAGGACTGAATTCGGCATTGATAATTTTCAAACTGGTGCTCGGTTAATGCACGCGAGGACAGTCATCACCTCATTTGTCTTCTGAATAACTCTCCTCTGCATGCGCACACTGTCATACCGAGTGCTCTTGAAAAGTTCCTTCCCTGGAGGGCATCTCAACACTTGTGCATCTGACTTTTACTATCAAACTTGGAAATGCTGTGACGTGGGTGATTGTGATGCAGGCCTAAGAGACGCCGGTGCTCATCTCAATCCACTCAGTTCTCTCTCAGTCTTGTCTCACATCGCTTGAAATCAGAAGCATGGTTGTGACAAAAGTCCGGCATATTTAGAAAGACTTACTCACTCTAAAGCACACCGATTACGACAGTTTGTCTTGCTACTAATGAGTACTGGGTGAGGCGCGACTGTCGGACGAAGGTCAGAAGCATGTAGACAGTAGAGGTGGTGGTCTCGCTGCCCTACAAAAGGTATCGAAAATGGTTTGGGGGTGAACAGTTTGCGTCGAGAAAATGTCGTATCGGGTCTCAACGTAAAGTCCAACCGGTGCGCGTACGTCTATGATCGAGGGCGTTAGGCACATTGATCTGATTGGTTTTTCTTGCCTCGAGCTCAGTGAATGTCTCGTGTAGAATTGAGGGAACCTTTGCAGACGGAAATAATTTTTGGTTTGTGTGAGAGTGAGTGGTGTTGATGCGACTTGAGTGGAACGGGCTGCAGGTGACCGTACCTAGAAGCCTCAACTAGTTGCCCCAAAGGCTTAGTGGAGGAAGCTTGCGTATGACCCTTGCATTGTTGGGCAGGTTCTGCTGTTGCTGGCGGCTGTCAAACGCCAGAGCGAGATTGTTCTTCTGCTCATCATCATCATCATCATCATCATCATCATCATCATCATCATCATCATCATCATCATCATCATCATCATCATCATCATCATCATCATCATCATCATCATCATCATCATCATCATCATCATCATCATCATCATCATCATCATCATCATCATCATCATCATCAGTGTATTTCACCACCATGTGCACAGAATAGACCGCCCCGGACTCCACAAAAACCCTCTGGAAGATCTACGAGTCAGCACGACGACAAAATGTCGCACACAATGCCTCAATGGGGACGGGGACTCTGGTGCTTCTGGGAAGACCTGAACTGGCAGTAGAGTTTTTAGGACGGCTTAGACTTTGTGGAAGATGATTTCACCGGCTGACAACGCCGGAGGGAATCAAATCGCTGCTTCGTCAGTGGTAATTTGGCAGTCCGCCTTCGAGGTCACCAGCGCGGACATTTACTCATACTGCTTTCAGTTCGCCTAACGCCCCACATTAATCGACTGCTTGAGTCGCGTTCGATTTGACACCAGCGTGGCCAATGAACGTTGCGTCCGTTGTGGATTAGTTGCAGGCGGTCAGAGTCCAGGCGCCGCATACGCCCCACGGCTATCACCGGCCTGGTTAAATCACTTGCTGTCTCTGTTTTCTGAGCCGCGTGTCTCATTAAAATGTGTCCTATAACTCTGTCTTCCCTGCCTTTTGATTGGTGGATGTTTGGGTTTTCGATCATCCTTTCTCGGTAATATCTCTGGGAGACACAGGGGAGGGGGGGGGGACTTTCAGACCGACGCATATTCCCCAGTCGCAGACGTGCTCGAGTCCACCTGAGCGTTGTTAGGCGGACTTGCTGAGCGCACTCCCGCGTACTAAGCATTATGCTGTCAGTCTGAGGATCACATGTTAACGCACGCTAATAGTTCTTTTCATTGATGTGGACTGACTGCGAAGTCTATAGCGAGGCCTAGACGGTAGGGGTTGGTTACGCTGTCCTGGTCCCAGTTGTAAGCGCAATGTGGGAATTACAAGTAAAGTAAGCCGAGGGCGTTACTTGAAAATTAGCCAAAGTTAAAACCGAAGAGGACAACCTAATATCTCGATTTAGAGGTAGGATTGGTTTTAAGGTTTGGGTTAGTTTCGGGCTGAGAATTGAATTTATGGTTAGGGTTTGTGTTGAATGTAAGGGTTCAGATTAGAGTTAGGGTTTGGATTACGGTTTAGGTTCACGCTTGGTGTTGAGGCTGGGGTTATGACTGAGGTTAGGCTTAGGGTTTAGGTTACGGATAAGGTTAGGGTTTGGGTTACGGTTAGGGCTAGGATTTTGGCCAGGGTTAAGGTTGAGCTTAGGGCTAGGACTAGGTTTGTGGTTGGTTTGGGGTTAGGCTTAGAGATGGGTTAGCTTTAAGTTTATAATTACGTGAAGGATTAGGTTTACTTTTGTGGTTACGGTTAGGTTTACCGTAAGGTTTGAGGCATTGTTGCCCTGCGTGTGCGTCGGCCAGGTCTTTTGCGGGGATCCTAGGCTTCCTTCAATATCGCGGCAGATTTGTCATACGTCAGATTACCTTTTCCGTTTCAGCCTTGGATAATTTCCCCACTAACGATTTCAGCATCCCACTTAGGCTTACTTTGCATTCAGTGCTCGCATTGCACTTAAAATTGCGACCAGGACAGTGTTACCGACACTTGCCGCTGAGACTTTGACGAAGATGACTTAGTCGACCGGCAATTTTTCGAGGAAGACAGACTGGGTAACGGTCAGACGTGATCGATTCTCTACTCCATCCGCTTAGTCACACAAATTCTTCATCCTCGACGCGGCAGCTTACTCATACCTCCTTCAATCTCCTCCAAGTTTCCTGTCAGACTTGCCTCTTGAGTAGTCGATCATTGAAAACAACCATTCATCCAACTGAGCGTTGTTAAGCGGACGTGCCGGGCTCGCTCGCTCGCACCTACTCAGCTTTATGCTGTCGATCTGAGAATCATATGTTGACGCACACCAATGATCCTCTTCATTGATTGACATCCAATGCCATATGGCTATGATCTGCTGCACTCGAATCAAAATAATACAATTATCGGGTTGGGGCGTTCTGCAAAGGGCTGTGTTAATCGTTCTCGCGAGCACACAGGGTGCGAGGAAGTCATTAATCTATTATGTGAGGCAGGGTGTTCAGTGAGGGACTGCACCTCCTCACAGAAGTGACAGATCGTTCCATGCAACTGGCGCACGTGCTGGCTGTCTCGCATTATCCTTAAATGATACCAAGTCCCTAATTTTTGGCTTTCGGGGCTGCGCCCTGCCTAGAGTTCACAATCCAGTCACGAGCGACAGGCTAAATCAGATATGAGTACCCGGTGTATGCTTCCCGGCAGTCCCGTCGCCTGTCCCACCCCCCACCCCCCCTCCATTCTCCCCAGCACAAAAATCCTACGAAGTGAGCGACAGAGATCCTGCAGGTGAATCAGTCTGATTCAGACCATCTTGTGAATGCTGGGCTGTGCGCGAGAGGGACAGCGAAAACTGGAGGTATTCAACCACCACTGCTCGAGGACCATCCTTCGAGTGAAGTACACCGACATCGTCCCAAATGAGATAGTTCGCGCTCGCTGTGACAACATCGCAGGGATAAATCAGGCCATCCATAAAGGCGACTGAGGTGGTTTAGGCATGTTCTTCGTCGTCCACCTCAGGAGCTTTGCGCTTCTGCTTTCGATCCGGAACCGTTACCCCATTGGAGGCGTCGAAGGGGGCGGGGAGTCAACTCAAAACCTGACTCGACACAGTCTGTCAAGACATGCAGGTGGTTCTTGGACCTTCGGTATTCGGTCTCCGTTGTTGGCAGTGAGAATGGGTTGAACTGTCCAGATCTGCTGCCGTGGATCGTCAGGCGTGGAGAGGTACTGTTCTTTACATCATCGAGGCCGGCTATATCAGGCATGATCGCAGCCGTACTAAGTATAAGTAGTAAGTTCTGTCGAAGTGATATGGTCGAGAACACGAAGGTTCCCAAGTCAGACGCCAGGGGAAACAGACTGGGTTGAACTGACCTTTACTTGGTAAAAGTACGTACGAGGGGCTCTGCAGACCGCTGCCGGAAGCTGTCTCTTCAAGCAAGTTGTTTGCCAATGTCCGCCGTTGAGGTTATCAGCCTCAGCGGGTCGTAACAGCAGCCAAAGGAACTGCTCTCCACATAATCCCACTAGAAAGGTAAAAATATTGCGGAGACTGAAAATTCAGACGCTCGAAGGAGTATCAGTGTCAATGATTGGAAACAACCATTCATCCACCTGAGCGTTGTTAAACGGACGTGCCGGGCTCGCCCGCTCGCACATACTTAGCAGAATGCAGTCGATCTGAGGATCACATGTTGACGCACGCTACTAATCCTCTTCATTGATTGACTTACAAGAACATATGGCTATGATCTGTTGCACTCGAATCAAAATAATACAATTATCGGGTTGGGGCGTTCTGCAAAGGGCTGTGCTAATCGTGCTCGCGAGCACATTGAGTGCGAGGAAGTCATTAATCTATTATGTGAGGCAGGGTGTTCAGTGAGGGACTGCACCTCACAGAAGTGACACACCGTTCCATGCAACTGGCGCACGTGCTGGTTGTCTCGCATGACCCTTAAATGATACCGAACTAATAGAAGTGAAGAGACGGTTAGAGTCGCTGGTCTTCCAACACCACAAACCGAAGTTCTGGGCGCGCCGTGTGGATGATACCTTCGTCGTTATCGACCGAGATCAACTGCTGACATTCAACGAACATCTGAATACGGTCTTCCCGGACATACAATTTACGATGGAGGAGGAAGAGGACAACCACCTGGCCTTCCTGGATGTCTTCGTAAGCCGCAAGGATTGTGGTGGACTAAAGACCAAAGTGTTCAGGAAAGCGACAAATACGATGCAAGTACTGAACTTCAACAGCAACCACCCAATCAGCCACAAACGCAGTTGTGTAAGGACGCTCTATCGGCTTGTCGAAACGCACTGCAGTGAGCCGGAAGACAGGATTGCCGAACTAAAATACCTCCGACGGGTCTTAAAAGCCAATGGCTACCCGCGCAACTTCGTCAACTGGTGCATACGCAAAAGGGACGAAAGGCCTAACCGCACGGACACCAAAGTTTGGCGAGCGCTTCCATATGTCAAGAACGTTTTGGAAGCTGTCGGCCGCCTTCTCGCACCACTTGGCGTTGGAGTGGCACACAGACCGGAGGCAACTATCAGGCGTCTGATCATGAAACCGAAAGACCCACTGCCACGGCTAGAAACGTCTGGAGTCGTTTATCGGATCTGGTGCAGTTGCGGACAAAGCAACTACGTCGGAGAAACCGGACGACAGCTCCGAACGAGAATGGCCGAACACGCGGCAGCGGTGCGCAGAAATGACGCCAGCTCTCAAGTTGCGGCTCATTCGACGAGATCCGGCCACACATTCAAATTTGACGAGGCCGAAATTCTCGTAAGAGGTGACAACCGCGTGAGCCGGGAGCTGCTTGAGTCATGGTTTACTGTCCCCCAGTCCATTAACAAGTGCAATGATCTTCCCATTCCATACTCGGTGCTGAGACTTCGCCTAGGCGGAGTAATTGGCCACGCGGGGAGCGCACAGCTGAACACTCTTCCCAACACCCGGGTCAGCGCGTCAGATGGTCGAGCAATCATCACACCAACACCCGACGCACGTGATGAACTTGCAGCAAGTAACGACGCAAATGTCGGCTGTCACGCCACGTGCAACGATCCCTGATGAAGGAGGGGGAACCGTGAATATTCATAGGTATGTGGTAGCATGGCTACTGCATCCTATAAATACTGCAGCTCCTTGTGCATGAACTGCCCTTATCTGCTTTCTTCTCTGATGATTGATTCGAACAGGAATCCGAAACGTCAGGCTAATAAAGCTCTTGTCCCGGCGATCGTGTCTTCTTCTTATTCATGATACCGAGCTCTAATTTTTGGCTTTCGATGCTGCGCTCTGCCTAACGTTCACAACCCAGTCATGACCGACAGGCTCAATCAGATGTGAGTACCCGCAGTCTTCTCGCCTGTCCCACCCCTCCCCACGCCCATCCTCCCCAGCACCAATATTCTACGATTTGAACGACAGCGATCCTGAAGGTGAATCAGTCTGATTCGGACTATCTTGTGAATGCTGGGCTGTGCGCGAGAGG